ATTAGACTAAGTATTGCTCTGCAGTTGTGAGCCACGTATATTAACCATTTATTTTATTTTTCAACCGCAGTTCTGTGGGCTCCGGAGATAATCCACTCGTCTGACCACTGGAACACTCCTTTCGTAAAAAAAAATTCCAGTGTCGAATCCACCAATCCCATATTCGTCTTGATGCCGGACAGGTCAGCCACAAATGCCTATTATTCTCCCAAGGCCATCTGCACCTCGAGCACACTGTCGATATCTCCACTCCTCTGGAGGCCAAACTCGTAGCTGAAGCAGCTGCTAGGTAAGTCTGTAACCAAACAATGGCTGCCAATTTCTGCAAAGGCATTGCCATAAAGAGTTGCCACTGAGCAGTGAGGTGTTCTTCTGGTAGTTGTAGCAGGTCCGCCGCGTGCAGCCTTCTCTTTGTCACTGATGCTGTTGGTGTTTTTCTTACAGCCGATCTGAGAAGCATCACTCCCGTTTTTGCCTTATACGAGTTCAATGACACCCTTTTCCTTTGGCAGTTGACATACCAACCCACTGTCCGTAAATCTATAGCCATTTGCGCTATATCCTGCAGACCTGCAGGGAGTGTTGCACTCCAATGTGTTCCTCTAGCTCCTGGTAGTTTTTTGAGGGTCAGGTCCACTGCCACTTCGAATCCTTTGTGTCGTTCAAATCACTGATCCTGATCTCATTGGAACTTGGGTGCAGTTCTCTGGAATATTCCACTGACTCCATCACTTCCCATGCCTTGGCTACCCAGCTTTCTGTTCCCAGGTCATCAGTAATCTGCAGGACTGTAGAGGGAGTCTTAAACCAACGTCCCACCAACACACTGTCTGGATTTTTCAAAAGGAAGGACCAGCTTTCTGTATCGTCCGAAAGGGGAAAGTTGCTGCGGTGCAGCACCCAAACTCTGATTCCGGTGCCTCAGGCGGGGCATTCTGCATCTGCATGATGTTAGGTCGCCAGGTGCATTTTTTAGGTTCTGGGCTCCTGTATCCTTCTTTTTTTGTCCCTGGCGGCACGTATCGTCCAGTCTGCATGCATTTCCATCTGAGAATTCATCGTTGAACATTCTTTTAGCCCCGCTCCACTCCACCGTATTCTAAGTGCATCTGGAGCTGGAAACAGTCCTTACACATTTAAAATGTACGGCTGGTCGGAATGCATCTGCCCCGTATGTTGTCCACATACGTGTGGATTGTCTAGTGGAGCCAGACCTTTTCTTCTTCTGATGCTGCTGCTTTTTTTTTTTTTTTTTTTTTTTTCCCAATAGCATCAGATAGAAGAGCAGTTGGTGATGGGAAGAGCATTCGGCCCTTGCTATCCTTCTGATGACTCCAATCTCTTGGTGGGGAGTAACATCTGCTGGAAAACAGGTCCAGTGTAAGGATAAACTCAGCTCATTCGATTACGCACACCAAAGGAGAGGCCGGGAATCCTCAACAAACGACCCGAAGAAAGCAGAAAGATTAACTGTGGGTGTCGGAACGATTAACTGCGGGTGTCGGGGTGAGATCCAGCGACAGAAATCGCCAAAACCAGACTGCTGTCCTGATCCCTGCTGTTCTAACTTTTCAGTCATTACTGTCATAAGAGGTGGGTTTTTTTTTTTTTTTTTTTCACCTTTCCTGCCTCGTGCCCCCCTTCCCTCCCTCAGTAGATGTCTGTTGTTGCACACTTCAGCGGATTGTGCACATGTTTTTTTTTTTTTTTTGCCGGTTTTCTTCCTTGAAACGTCAGTTTTCTTTTGAACACTACACTGCATTCATGTCCATGTTGCTTGCCCTGTGGATCTTCCCTGTCCACCACCTTGTGAAGCTGTGCATAATTTTTTTGATTCC